TGAGAGGTAGCAGGTGATGGCTCAGGTTCTTTGGTCCCTGCCACCCACTAGAGAGACCTTGACTGAGTTCCCAGATTCTGGCTCCAACCTCAGCCAGCTCTGGCCCGGGCTTGGCTATTATGGGCATTTAGGGAGTGAATCAGCAGATGGGAGCTGTCTGTTTGTCTGTGTCTCAAAGAAATAAAGCATTTTTTTTTAATGAGGCCAGCACTTTAAAAGTAGTATTTAAATTTACTGGACTCTCCAGGCCAGTGTTGTGGCACAGTGAATTAAGCTGCCACCTGCAATGCTGGCATCCAATGTGAGCAATGGTTGGAGTCCCAGCTGTGCGACTTTGACCTAGCTTCCTGCATGTGTGCTGGAGAAAGCAACAGGAGATATCCCAAGGCCTTGGGCCCCTGCTACCTACATGGGAGACCTGGTTGGGGGTTCTAGGCTGCTGGCTTTGGCCTGGGCTTGTTGTGGCTATTTGGGGATCCTCTCTTTCTGTCTGTCTCTCCCCCTTATCTGTATCTCTGCCTTTCAAATAAGTGATCTTTAAAAATTAAATTGTTGGGCTGTCTACAGAGTCACTGCCATTTCACACTGCACCCTGCCTTCCTTGATACACAGGTACATATTCGAGATGCTCAAGTCGCCAGCAGTTCCTGACAATCAGGAAGTAAGGACAAAAATAAGCCACTTGTTTGATGCAGACAGGGACACATGTGATGCAGACAGGGACACGTGGCCCCTGTACTTTTCAACTTCGCCCCGTTGGTCCCCTGGTGGCTGGGTGAAGGCCACCAATAAGCCCCTAGGGAGTTTTCTCCAGCCAGCATTCTGAGACTAGGTCTTGGAAGAATTTTAGTGGCCAACACTCAGCGGTGTTCCAAGAGCACAGAGGCCTCCACACAGGGATTCCTCAGCTCAAAATGTGTAGCTTTCAGAGGGAATTAGGCCCTGACTGCTCCCAGACCGATTCCAGACCCTGCTTGATGTACTTCAGGACCCGTGGAGTCACAGAGACCACAATGGAAAGAAGGCTAGGGGTGGGGGTGGGGAAAACAGCACCAGGGACTATGAGCTACACAGGACACCTTAACGGAAGAACACTGGCGCTTCAGTAGCAAACCTCTAATCTCTTACCTGAGTTACCCAGGATTGATGGCGAATGACTGCTCTTTGATCGCCTCCAGGGTCACCTTGCTTACTACCTCTGCTAAAGTCTTTATTGCAAAGTTAAGTTTGGCAGGCCTGCGGTCAGCTAAGGAGAAGGGAGAAAGAATAAGCCGGGCAGCGTTTGGGGGACACAGCTTATCCCTCAGGGGTTCGCCCGCACGTTGTCTCTGCAGCCTTGAGTCTGGGTCGGGGCGTTGATCGCGGAAGGATCAATGCTGCCAATGAGGGGCAGCGAACGCGCCTCCTCCGAGGCGGAAGTGAGTGCCGCGCGTTTCTCTGGCGCGGAGCATTGGGAACTCATCTCCTTGCTAAGCTGCTCTGTGCAACCTTGGCACGGTGACTGTAGCTGTAAGCGCCGTGTCCTCGCATATGGAAAATAACTGCAGTGTGTTTCTGTCTTTGGAAATGAGCTTAGAAAAAAGGCCAGAAGATTTCTATTCCTTATTATGCCAGAGTCAGCTGATTTTCTAGGGTCAGCACGCGTATGGATACACCCCTGTTAGGAGACTTGAGAAACTCAAAGTCTTACCATCTCCCTTAGGTTACCAATCCATAAACTTTTCTTGGTCCTTCTATACAGCACACTGGACCAGAAAGGAGAATAGTGGTATCCATACAGCCTCACAAATCGTCAAAATGAGATTCTAAGGTATCTTTAGGGACCTAGTATTTAAGAAAATTTTTCTTTAAAGATTTATTTATTTGAGAGGCAGAGTTACCGACAGACAGAGACAGGAAGAGTCAGAGAGAGAGCTCTTCTACCAACTGGTTCACTCCCTGTATGGCTGCAATGGCCAGAGCTGGGCCAGTCTGAAGCCAGGAGCCAGGAGCTTCTTCTGGGTCTCCCACATG